GGAGTCAGAGAAAAATTATGCACCAATAGAAAAAGAAACACGAGCACTTTTGTTTGGAATTGAAAAATTTCAAACTTTCATTTTTGGACGAAAATTTATATTGCGAACAGATCACAAACCTTTGAAAAAATTATTTGGTGATAAACGGAAACTCCAAAAAATATCCAATAGTCGATTAACGCGCCGCCGCATGGAAAATGTTCACATATGATTTTGATATTGAATATCGACCAGGAAAAGAAAATATAGTAGCTGTTACATTATCTAGACTGCCAGTAGTAGGTATGGAGTCAAATAACGATTAAAAACATGCATTAAAAATCAGAGCTCTTAATTTGCATGATATAAATATTAGTCAATTTGAATTCCAGAAAGAAACAAGGAATGATTAATTGCTTAAAAAAGTAATTAAAACATTGAGCGAGGATGGGTTGGGTTTGATGCGAAAAATGATGCAGAGTTAGTTTGTTTTAATAATCGTCAAGAGGAATTGTCAGTAGATCATGATGTCATTGAATGGAATGGAAAGTTGGTAATTCCAACCGCGTTGAGGAAATCAATATTAACTATTATACAAGAGGGCATCCAGGAATAAATGCTATGTAATCAATTTTTAGATTGTATTGTTGATGGCCTAATTGCGATAAAAACATTAAACAACATGTTCGTCAATGTATGCCATGTCAAAGTAACCGGTCGAACATAATGGAGGTTCCGTTATATTCGTGGAACATCTCTAATATGCCACGGGAACGCATTCATTTGGATTTCGCGGGACCTATTGATTTGTATTCATGGTTAGTTGGAATTGATGCGCATTCTAAATGGGTTGAGTTCGAGTGGATGAGAGAGAACCACAATGAACTGGGCTCTAGGAAAATGGTTCGCACGTTTTGGAACGTCTAGATAAATTGAGCCAGATAATGGCCCTCAGTTTATTTCTGGGGAATTTCAGAAATTCTGTTTAGAAAAAAATATTAAATTAATACATTCAACACCTTACCATCCCAAAACGAATGGGTTATCTGAAAGAACAATACAAAAACTTAAGAGTCTATATTTTGCCACTAAAAAAGATATTAGGGAGTCAGAGGAAGCTATGGGAGAAGTTTTGACCGCATCAGGGGCCCCTACAACGGGGGGGGGTCCGAAGCAACTGCTTCAGTAAATTTGAGTGGGGGTACTTTTTTTTGCATCCATCATGATCATGTGATTTCTGGTTTATAACAATAAGACCCCCCCCCCCCCCCCACTTAATATTTAATTTAATATATTGACGGAAATTTTGGTCGATGTTTAGTAAATTTGTTATCCGAAATTTCTTGTCATAAATTATTTTTCCAATTTTAAAATATGCCTAAAAATATTAACCAATATTGACAATAGCAAAATTCCTAGAAATTGGATTACTTATACTATTAAAATGTATAAAAATTTTTGCTTAACATGTCTCTTATTTGGTGGTCCACACGCTAATTCAAAATGGACATGTGAAGGTCTAGATAAATGGCAAAATATTAATCGTGATATTATTCTGCATGAACCTTCACAGGCACATATGATGGCCGATTATGGAAGGCTTTCTCATAATAAAAATTCGATATTAAAATTTATAACACCTCAGAAAGAATGTGTAGATAATAACCGTTCTATTATAAGAATTATAATAAGATGTTTAGATTATTTAATATCTCGTAACCAAGCCTTCTGGGGGAACAGGCAACAAGAAGGCAATATGATGGCCCTTATTAAGCTTATTGCAGATTCTGAACCTATACTAAAAATGTATATACAGCAAAATGAAGAAAGAAAAAAGGATAAAAAAAATAAGAGATTAAAAACGAAATTATATTCAAATCAATTATCATATAATAACATAAACATTCTCATTGAAACCATGAAAAATATGGTTATAAAAAAAATTCAAAATGAGATTACATTTAACAGGTGCTTTTCAATCATAGTTGATGGCACATACGATGTTTCGACAGAAGCAATAGCTTTGATAGTAAGGTATGTTGAAAATAGTGAGACGCCGAAGCCTGTTGAAAGACTGATTGACATATATTGTACGGGAAATACCACAGGTCTCGATATAAAGCATAATATAATATCCAAACTTGGCTCGATGAATTTACCCCTTGAATATCTAGTTGGGCAAAGTTATGATGGCGCCTCAAACATGAGTGGAAGAATCAATGGAGTGCAAGCCTTGATTAGAGCAGAGGCGCCAAAGGCAGCTTTTATTTGGTGTTATTGTCATCGATTAAATTTAATCGTTGTTCAATTATGCCAATCAATTAAAGAACTTCGAAATGTTCTAGGAATACTAGATGAGATTTATGTCTATTTTAATGGTGTAAAAAGATATGAGGTACTCAAAAAATTTCAGTATGATCTGAAAAAATCGCAACGATTTCTACGCGTCAAGAATACCACTCGGTAATAGTTCCTTATTTATTTAAATTTTAAATGTTTTTTTTATTTAGAAGCTGGCTATCGTCATATAAAGCTATTGTAAAATTTTTTCAACTTTATGATGCCTTGAGGGCAGCTTTAACAAATTTAAAGGATTCTGAAGATCCTGCCACTTCCACTATGGCTAGTGCTATAGTCTTTAGAATAGAAAAATTTGATTTTATCTTATCACTTTGTGTTTTGGATAAAATATTGTTGATAACAAGTTTGGCTTGTACAAAATTGCAAACCATTTCGAAGGATATATGGTATGCAATAAATCAAATTCAATTGACAAAAGATTGCTTGATTAATTTGAGAAGTATAATATAAATTATTGTCTTAATTATTTTTTAATCTAATAGATAATAACACTGAATTTTTGGATGTTTTTTCAAAGGCGCAAGATTTTATGAAGGAGAGAAATCTACATTTTGATTTTGAAAGTTCTAGACTTCAAACATTACAATACAAAAAGGAGAGGTATATACTTTCATCATTAAATATAGAAATTTTTTTTAGCTTTAAAATAGGTGTGTTTTATGCTGCACTCGATTTAATTATTATGCAGTTTAACGAAAGATTTAATGATGATTCCATGAAATTTTTACATCAAACATCATTTTTTACGCCAAAGGGAATGACAGAAAAATCAATTATTAAAGAAGATATCGAGGATATCTGTGAATTTTACAATTTAAATTCAAGTCAAATTTTCGAAGAAATGTTGAAGTTTAGAAATATTTATAAGATGGCCAAAATGGGGAATGTAATTATTACTCATGACCTAGAGGTTCAAGAATCTAAAGATTTGTCAGATTCTGAGAATTGTAAATTTATTTAATTAAAATATTTTTACCAATACATTATTTAGCTTCTTCTGATGATGATGATAATTTAGGGACTTACGATTCAGATTGGAAATACTATTCATTTATTTTACACTTTTAAATTTTTCTGCTTTCCCTAATTTAAGAATTTTATATAAATATTTATTAACCATTCCCACAACCTCATGTACTGCCGAAAGAGTTATGAGTAAAATTAAATTAATTAAAACAAGACTGCGCAGTACCATGAAAGATTCTTTTCTCAATAATTTAACCATATTATCAATGGAAAAAATTTTATTTAAACAATTAAATACTGATGAAATTATAAATTCTTTCGCTTTCTCTTCCCCTAATTTATCTAAATTATTAATTTAAAAATAATATTTATAAAGTTATATTTTTTGCATTTTATTTATATTATATATTAAAAATTGATGCAATACAAATTATTTTTGATATTTATGGGTGTCATAATTATCATTTTTTCGAAGGGGGGGGATACTTTTCAAGGGGGTACTTTTCATGGGGGTATTCTGCTTCATTCGCTCAAAAAGTGTAGGAGCCACTGGACCGCATACAGAATGAGGGAGCACCAATCAACTTGACGTTCACCGGCAAAATTATTGTTGGGGCGAAATCTAAAAACTGGATTAGATTGGTTACATCCAAATGTTAAGGATGAGATGGAACGATCTAATATACGACAAAAAACAGCGCACCATGAACATATTCAAATGAGAGAATTCGTGCACAACCGGTATGGGTACATAATGAAATCAATTCAGGTTGGAGAGAAGGAATTATAAATTCCAGAACTGGTAGATATTCTTATTTGGTAGAAAGCGAATAGAATGTTACGAAAGCGTGCGGATCAACTTCGAAAACGGGAGATAGCTAAAGAAATGGAGAAGTCTGGGATAGAGGAAGAAAATATGGAGTCAGAGAGAGAGGAAGAAAATTGAAAGTCGGAAATAGTTGAGATTTTGGAAAATGTGGAAGGTAACGGAGAACTAGAAAGGCGGAAATCACAAAGATCTAGGAAACCTACAAATAGGCTGATTGAGGAGTTGTAAAATCTTATGTGTGCGGATTTGTTATAATATATATTATTAATATTATAAATGCCATATACAATATATTATTATGATGATTGACATTATTGATATGATATATTGAAATGCGTGAATAAAGTCATATGAGTCTAAATTACTATAGTAATCATACAAAATGCAAATATTTATTAGATTGTAGGAATGGATCCTTCCTTAAGGGTTTTTTTTATTAATAATGGAAGCCAAAGCAAGAGTTTTGAATTATTTATCATTTTCTCATGATATGGTTCCATTCTTCAAGATGATCTTAATTATAAGAAAATATATTTTGATACAATTACAGGGGTTAGGCCATAATTTAATTTTTTTAAGATACCCAGGTCGGGCTGTATATTTTAAATAGCCATTATTATCTATAAAAATTGAAAACAAATATAATATATTTAAAAAAATCTAGACTGGGCCATGCCAATTTTTTTTTTTAAAACAGGGCAGGCTGTGCAAATGGTACCTACAGGTCTCTAATATATTTATTACCTTAATATTTATATATAATTGGAACATGAATCTTCATTATATTAATTTCAAGTTTTTGATAAATTGAGCTTTTAAACTTGTAATTAATTTATTCATTAGTAAATATATATTTATTTAATAGGGATTTCAGTCATTTACAGATCTTATCAAGGGAATTGCAAAATTTTAGGAACACTGATTATTTTGCCAACCGGGAAGTCTTTGTATTGAAGCTCACAGATTTTGGTAAAAGTCTAGACCTCACATTTTACTCGGAAAGTAAATTATACTTATTTCGCATATATTATGAAGGAAGGGGAGTAACTATCATTACAAAAACACAGGAAAAGTAATAATTTTTATCTAACTAATTTGTGATCAAAACTTCTGGATCCTCCTCTATTTACCCAATCAATCCTAATAAAAACATCCCTTTTTATACCCGCTATTTCTTCTCTTATTTATATTCACCATTTTTCCCAAATGGTAACCCATTATTATATATTGGAACTGATATGCCGGACCATGGTTCCGGCCGTCTGAATTAATTTATTTGGGCAGGGCTAGTGAAAAAATTAAAGGGCTGGTCAAAAAGGTTATTGGTAAAATATTTGTATTTTTATATATTTATCTATACTTCAAATAAAATGTTTGTATTTTCTTCATATGGTCGCAAAGTCAGAAAAAGTTTAGCCGGGGAAAAAATAGCAGGCGGCCGTGACAAAAAATATAACCCCATTTAAATAAGAGTGACAGTACAATCTACATTATTATTAGTTTTTTAACTCATATTTTAGATCATAATCTTGAATATTAATTTAATCTCAAAACATGGTCAGATTATCAGACAGAAATAGGACATATTATATAATGTGAATTCTTATATTTTATATGTAATAATCTATAAAATATAATATTTTTAATTTAACCACTCCCCAATATTATAAGGAACTGTTTATTTTGGTCTTCAACTACATATTTATGATAGGCCTTGTATTTAAAAAACGGGCCAGGCCTGGATTTTAATAAACCAGGTCAGGCAACCTTCTTAAAAAATTAGAACTGGGCCGGCAAATTTATCATTTCTAGGCCTTTAATTGGAATTGAAACCACATTAATTCTAATACGCTCGTGTGTTATAATTATTTTTTTCTAACAATCGCTTAAATCCATCTCATCACCAATCTTATTGTCGTATTGGGATATGGAATCATGTGGGATTCGGAATCCCAACGTGGGTATTCGGAATCTTTTTTTAAAAATATTTAAAAAATATTCAGAATCCCCATGAAAAATAAATAAATAATATAATTACTTTTTCTTCTCTTTTTTTGCGGCTGGCACCATATAATTAAAAGGCCAAAATAAGGGATTTAAAAAGAGAATTAAAAAAAAGTAAATAGTATAAAATTAAGACATATAATGAATGAAAAGGGATGAGGTTAAGAATTTTTTGGTTTAAAAAATATATTTATAAAAATCCGAATTATTGCAACAATTATTCAATGCAATATGGGTTCCACGTCAAATCGACCAAAAAATAAGATTTTCGGCCGACCATCTCAAAAATGAATGAAACTTTGCATGTTAGTTATTTGTAAATGTTAATAAAATCAAAATTTTAGAGTGCTAGCTCAACCAGATCCAAAGATATACGCCTTCAAAGTCGAAAATCGCGAATTGCGTGATTTTTTTAAATCGTGTTTTTTAAAAAATACTTAAGATAGAGTTACAAGTTATATATCATTTTATAGCCCTTAAAATTTTACGTTGGATAATATAAAAAAAATTAAAAAATTTCAAGTGTTTTCTTATTTCCGGTAAAAATAAAAAATTAACATTGTTAGGAAAGGATTTTTTTTGGGTGTTAATATTCACTAAAAATGTTTATTATCTTTATATTAAACGATTTAATGAAAAATCTCGATAGCCATTTTTGTTTTTTTTAATTTTATATGAATTTTTATTATTTTTATAAATAAATAAATGTAATATAGATATCGTTATATTAAAATATTTTTATAATATATAATTTTTAATAAAAATATGAATAGTATTGTGATTATATAATTAAGAATGATATCTTGGGGCGATATGTAAACAGGCAGCCCATACAGATATTATTTTATTTGGACGCTATATTGTAAAATAAACATATTTTAAAATTTTATACACAAACAATTATAAAAAAAAATACCTCTTGTTTTAATCTTATCCCATTTTGTTCTTATTAATAGAATTTCTTGAGACGATAATTTGTAGGTACGTCCTGTCATTATAATAGGATCTACTATCGTTATTATTTGATTAATGGGTAACCATATCTTTTCCTCAATTGTGGGGTAAAAGAAGGATGGTGATGGTTCATGGGGATGTAAAAAGGATATATATATCTCTGTAATTTCATTCTTTTTTAGTACTGTGGCTAACCACCAAAAATCGTCATAAACACATTTTACGAATCCTTTAATATCGACAAAAAACAAATTATCGGCAAAAGGCAAATTATCAGCATTTGAGATACTGTTAATTTGAAAGTCCTCTGCATATGAATATATTTTTGATTTAAACTTTCTTAAACTCAAAGGAAATACAGCATGTATTTCCCGAGTTCCATGGGACGTGCTTAACTGAATCTTTCTCGAAGTTTAATCTCTTGCAAATTGTATTGTTCGTTTGTTATATACGTAAAATTTGCTGATGGCATGTTTTGTTTTGCAAATTGATATAAATAATTGGCGTTAAAATGTGGCCAGAACGGATGCGCTGAAGGATTGAACGTGCTGCTAATCTTTTTAATGTTCCGCCAAGGCTGTCACATGGACCTTTTCCATGGGATGTAGCTGAAAAATGCCATCAGCTGCTACACCAAAATCTGATTCATGATAACACAGATTTATAAAAATTTTTCTGTTTTTATATTGTGCAGCTGATCCGTCAGAGCAGTTATATATTTTGTTTGGCTTTTTGTTGAGTTGATTGGTCAAAAACTTTCTCATTTTAGTCTAATATAAATGTACTGCAATAACATCATGTTGAAGTGACTCTGATATTACCACATAATTAAGATTTTCTATATTGCCATTATTATTATGATATGCTATCATAGGATGGATAGTGGCTTTATTGTTATTCCAGTGGAATCCTTAAACAGCGTCTTGGATTATAAATGCATAATTTTCAGAGAAATCACAAATTATCATAAATTCATTTGGTTGTAAAAGATGTTTAAGTTTTGAAATATATGGTGATTGATTGGTAGCGATAAAGGAATGTCGTAGCATAGGTGGAATTTTCTCTAAAAAAAAATTAAGAATTCTTAGGAAGATTTTGTTATTGTTTCTAGATTACTTCTATCAACAGATACCCACTGTTTAAAGGATATATGATCTATGTCATTTTGGGTAAACACATCATTTAATTTTTCTTTAATTGAGAATAAGCCTGGACAATAGTTACAATCTCATAAATAACATAGGGAGGGCTGGATTGCATATTGCTTGGGCTAAAATATTTTTATAGTTATGTAATGGATATTCTGGCCTAGCTAATAGTTTTGCCAAATTAGCAACTACAAACATAAGCTTAAAATTTTGATGAATTATACAAACACACATACTGTGTGTTCCACTGTATCCAGCCAGAATACAATTTTTTGGCCATAAATCTGCAAATTTAGAAAATCCAACTTTAATTATCGGGTGCATCTCTTTAAATCGTTCATATAATTCTTTTAATTGTTTAAAATTAATCTTTTTTGAGAATGCTCCCTTTTCCCTTCGATTATTATGGATTTATAGTCCTTTTTCCTGGGCATCGCGCGGCTAACTTTATCAGAGGAGTAAAATTTTTCTATAATAATCACAGTTTCCTGACCAATTGTTCGCCAAGGTTTTATATTGGAAGATGACATAAATCCTTTTGATTCAATTAATTTTTTAGATTTTCTCACCAAGTAATTCGTGGCTTTGAATTCCATCTGAATTTTTTGATAGGTCCAAGTTGGGGGCATATAGTTAGAAGCTGATATTTTTTTTCCTTAGAAATGGACATCATTCTTAGTTATTCTCAATTGATTTTTTAATTTTAATCACAATACTATTGATATTTTTATTAAAAATTATATATTATAAAAATATTTTAATATAACGCCATCTATATTACATTTATTTATTTATAAAAATAATAAAAATTCATATAAAATTAAAAAACAAAAATGGCTATCGAGATTTTTCATTAAATCGTTTAATATAAAGGTAATAAACATTTTTAGTGAATATTAACACCCAAAAAAAATCCCTTCCTAACAATGTTAATTTGTTATTTTTACCGGAAATAAGAAAACACTTGAAATTTTTAAATTTTTTTTATATTTTCCAACGTAAAATTTTAAGAGCTATAAAATGATATATAATTTGTAACTCTATCTTAAGTATTATTTAAAAAAACACGATTTAAAGAAATCACGCACTTCGCGATTTTCGACTTTGAAGGCGTATATCTTTGGATCTGGTTGAGCTAGCACTCTAAAATATTGATTTTCTTAACATTTACAACATATATAACTAACATGCAAAGTCATTCATTTTTGAGATGGTCGGCCGAATCATTGGTCGATTTGTCATGGAATTACCCATATGTCATTTCATTGAACATTTAAGCAGGGACCCGAACCGTTATTTATAACGGTTCAGTATATAAAAAATTATAATGGTGAGTTAGCCGTTTTTAAAAATCAATTATGAATAAGTAAAAATACTATTTATCTTTAGGTTGAGCCAAATAAGGTCAGACTCATTTAGAGATTGTTATAATTAAATTATTTATAACAACGAACAAATTTTAAGTTGAGATTATCAAAATGTTTTTTTTAAAAAAGGCTAAGGACCAATATATATTTTTATTTAGTAATTTTATATATTTTTACATATTTTTATATAGTTTTAATATTTTAGTGTTTTATCATTTTTTTAAAAATTATACCAATATCAATATTATCAAAATAAAATTTAAAAAAATATAACAAATAACAATGGCAATATTTTGAAGTTTTGGAAGCAGGAAAATTTATTTCCTTTTTTGAGAAAATTAGAGAGTAAAATTTTGGTCAGCTCTGGCAAATTCGGCTTCTAGTGAAAGGTTATTTTTTGTAGCCAATCGCCTATTCGAAAATTTTTTAGTGGTAGGCGTGAACGGGCGTGAATATTTTCATTGCCATATTTATTTTTTTTACATCTAATTTATATTAAAACCATTTTTTCGAGTATTTAATGATAGCA